ACATTGTACCCATGTGAGGAATCGAACCCGGGTCTTCGGCGTGACGAGCGAAAGCTTTAACCACTGGGCCACCCCACCGCCCCGAAACCCAACAGCACTGCTATGCTGTTTACAAACCGATGCTCATAACCAGTGCAAATCTTGAATTCGAACTCATCTCAGCACGTACTTACACAGCTAAGGGAGGCAACCCTGCAATGAATGTCTGTGTATATGACCACCATGAGCCTTACTAAAAGAGACGAGAATATCCGATGAAACGCTCCTGATGTTGCAACTGTTGGTTAAATTTATCGTAGATATCGCAGCGATATTCTCCACTGTATCAACTTGCCCACAGCTTGGCGAAAGACGCAAGCGTAATCAATAGACGTGTCGAAGTCCCTGCCTCCAGATCGCTGAGTGATGGGGACTTCAGAATAACATGGTCTTAAAGGCACCACGACGATTAGTAAACATTTTTAATTGAATGCTTTCCCACGAGTCAATGCAGTTCATTCATCACCTCGACGTGCTCATGGGTTTACTTAGATCGAGTTGGGTCGGTTAGTGCACAAGCACAATCGCCATGCAGCAATGTATTCAGTGATATGTGAATGCTACCTGCACACGGTTCTGACTCACTTGACATCAAGACAACGCTTTTTAGTTTTGTATTTACGGATTTGACCGACCAGAGGCAAAAGCCTCAATCATCGTGAACACATTATTTGTCTGATCGTAAATGTGTGACGAGTGACTCTGTCATGTCGGTCGGTGAACATTCCGGAAGTCCATGCAGAGTAATGTCCCTTTTCCCATGACTATCGAACATCTAAGGCAACGGAATTCTTGGTCCTGATTTTGGTTCCTTTAGTATGCCAGATACGTGTGATCGTGGGTTGATTCCAAATGCAACAGTTAGGATTCTTATTTTGTAAACAAAAAGGTTTGAGACTTGCATTCCATATTAAAACTTAACGTCCAGTTCAAATTGGAGTTAGGTCCAACTCACTTATTAGAAATGTGTTAGATTGGAATATGATATTGCTTCTTTACTAACCAACTGCTCGAACACTGCCGATAGGCCCCACCATGCACGTATGCGCCCATCTACTTACACAATCAAACGCTCTCCCAAATAATTCGCAGGGTACCCGTGAAGGTCCGGGTTAGAATATTGATCTTCAGTAACCCATGCTTGTCGTAAGAGGCGACTAACGGGATCGGGTGGTCAGGCTCGCTGACTTGGTTGACACATGTCAACGTATCCCAATTGCATAGATCAATGCTCATGCTATTGATCACTGGATTGTCTGGTCAAGACTCGATTATTTACAAACCGCCGCCATCTTGCTGGAATATTGCTGAGTGCGGCGTAAAACTCAACTCACTCACTCACTAATTCGCAGGTCGGTGGGGTAGCCTAGCTGTTTAAGCGTTCGCTCGTCACGCTGAAGACCCGGGTTCGATTCCTCATATAGGTATAATTTGTGAAGACCTTTTTCTGGTGTCCCCGTCGCGATATATCTGGAATATTGCTAAAAGCAGCGGAAAACCATGCTTATCATCAATTCAACACTTCGCTTGCCCAAACAACAACCTATTCGCTCGCTTCTCTATTCGCTGACTGACTTACTCATTCATCTCTCACCTCACACAAACATCCTCAGTTAAACTGAACGATATATACACTTATCCTCATTTAATTAACAACTTTTAACGACTCACATAAACACACACCTATCAAGATATTCATACTCCACTTACCTCTCCATCAACTGTCTCAGTCATCGACTCACCAACCACTTCAACTCAACCAGCCTATCCACACATCATCTCACCAATCGAATCGCACATGCACTAGCTACTCACCAACCGACTCACCCCCTGATTCACCCAGAGACTCGCACATCGAGATATCGACAACTCGCACATTGTCTCATCGTCTCATTCACAGAGTCAGCTGTAACACCCACTGAAACCAACTTACCGGTTGCACGTCTCATACATCGCTCCGCCCACGTACTCACCCTCAACTCACCCTTCCTTAACGTGTGCATGGAGTGAGTGAGTTGGTTTTACGCTGCTTTTAGCAATATTCCAGCTATACCACGGCTGGGGACACCAGAAATGGGGTTCACACATTGTACCCAAGTAGGGAATCGAACCCGTGTCTTCGGCGTGACGAGCGAACGCTGTAACAACAGTACTAGGCTACTCCACCGCACCGGCATTGACTACACCTGGTTAAAACACACGTCCTGGTGGTCCTGTGATTTCCATCGCGGCGCTTTAAATGCCGTTGTTCTATTGACTTTGATTTTGACTCCATATTTCTCTACTGAGTGCTTCGTGCCAACTTGGTGTTGCATTTCGACCGGGACCATAGACTGTAATTAGTCACCTGGTTGATTAATTATTGATACGCCTCTGTAAGCTGACGAACAGCGGTTACAGACTACACCATGGCGAAGTGTTAGGTCCTATTTTTGATATCCGCAGAATCATTGATCCCAATTGTTTTACTTATTTTTCCTGGAGCTCGAGGTGATGCATTTGCAGCTGACATTGTTAGCTTTACAATATTACAAAAAATGACTGAGTGAGTGGATGAGTAAGTGAGTCTGTGAGTGACCGAGTGGATTTGTACGCCGCTTTCAGCCCTATTCCAACCTTGTGATGTTTTGACTAGGGAGAGATTTTAAGCTCTACCAAACAAAATTAGTGTTACAAAACATTATCTCAGTGATCCATGAGTGAGTGGATGAGCATGTGATTCTGTGAGTGACTGAGTGTATTTTTACACCCTATTCCAACCATGTGATGTTTGTTGACTGCAGTGATCCTTACACCCACATTGGGATTCTTACCAAGAGGGTCAGACGGTGGTTCCAACCAATGGCCAGAATCATTGGCTTCTTAATTTTGGACAAGGGTAATGCTGTCGCATGAACGCTCCTGTGCCGAGTTGTTTCTGTTTGTGGTGCCAGGATTTGTGATGAAAATAACGTGCTCACCTTCCTGAGTCAATTTAGGTTTGAATACATGACACGTTTTATGGATAAAGTACTTCAATTTAGGTTTACCTCTCACAATGATTTGATGTTATTATGATCTAACTGGTCAGCAGGCATCGATCCTGAAACAGCAAAGGGGGATAACTCTGATAAGTAATACAACGTCACAGACACGAAAGCGTCAGCTAAAATAAATAATTATAGTGAGTGAGTTCGTATGGTTTTACGCCGATGTTAGCAATATTCCAGAAATACCACGGCGGGGAACACCAGAAATGGGCTTCACACACAGTACCCATGTGGGGAATCGAACCCGGGTCTTCGGCGTGACTAGTGAACGCTTTAACAACAGTACTATGCTACTCCAGCGCCAATGCAGGGTCTACACCTGACCGGTTAAGACACACGTCCTCGTGGTCCTGTGATTTCCATCCTGGCCCTTTAAATACCGTTGTTAAATACCGAACGCTTCAACCAATAGGCTACCCCACCGCCCCTTAAATAATTATAAACATAGCCATATGCTTATGAGGTTCCCCTGCGTCCCTGTCGGGATTGTTCCACATAATATCAAACACAAATGTTTTGGTGTACAGACCACTGTTATATATCTCAGGGGTGGAAATAACTTTAAAATTGCTAGTGTACACCGGTACAGTGGCACATGTAAAATCACTTACCCTGATAATTTTTCCTCTATACCGGCCGAGTTTCTTGTTGATTTAAATAAACAACATAATTAACATTGGAAAGTCAACTGGACATTGGTACAGCGTGATATACAAATTTGCTTGCCCGACTGGAAAAACACTGGACTCGGACGTCGGGCAACGGGTTATTACCATCCCTGTATCTGTAGTATTGCTGAGTGTGACCAACAAACTGACAAGTCTGTTTTAGAAAGTTATTTATGAACAGTCATTAATGAACAGTATACTTAATGCATGTTTCTAGCTCTACTTGTATTGTTCCATTCTTATGGCATATATATTCCTTCAGTCCACCTATTAATCATTCAAATTGTCATGTTCCGGACATCTTTGTCAGAACTTTATGTTTCACTGTGAGACATGTATGTAACAGTGTGCAAAATAACTGAAATATCCAGGCTATTTCTTATTTGCTAACCCGTGAAGGTCTGGGTTAGAATTGGTCTTCAGCAACCCATGCTTGTAGTAAGAGGCGATTAACGGGTTCGGGTGGTCAGGATCGCTGATTGGTTGACACATGTCACCGTATCCCAAATGCGTAGAACGATGCTCATGATGTCAGTCACTGGATTGTCTGGTCCAGACTCGATTATTTGCAGACCGCTGTCATGTTGCTGGAATATTGCTGAGTGTGACGTTAAAGACCAAACCAACAAATATAATTTGCTCTATTCTCTAATTATTTATTTTAAAAATGCATTATTATTGCGATCAGTTTTCAAATTGAAAAGCTGTCCATTCAACAAGAGGATTGAATTGACTTCTTAAAGACATCACCGTAGACTAATTATGCTGGGATTGGAAGCCCCAAAATAAACACTTTGGATTTCTCTCTATTTTAATCATTTCAGACTCTGGGAAATTGTCCGTTATCATAATTTTTAGTCTTTCTGTGATGTTAAATGAAAAGTTTTCAGTAAATTTGAAAAATATATGAAATAAATAAGCATTTCGTAAAATTGCCACAGTAAAAATTCCAGTCCATTTTACACACTGACTGTAACATATACAGCGCATAAACACACGCCATGGCGTTCCACTTAGGGACGAGTGCCACAGAACAAAGCACTATTACGAAACAATGCAGCTGATTATGTACACTACTTGGTGCACAGAATGCCAATGTCATTACGCCTCACATATCGACATGCTGTCATCACCTCCCCCACCCCTGCCTGTTCAGCCTTGCTCACTGTCACGTGATAATCGCCGCCATCTTGCAAGCCGTATCGATCGTCTCATTATCCAAAGTCGAAAGACTCTACCATGTGAAATTGGGTCAACCACAAACAAAGCGCTCGCATAGAATCTCATAAAACCAGCCTAGACCCTACTCTTTGTTCTGGATCTTACCCATTCATTCATGTAACGGTTGATTCGTATCGGAAACTGATGACCAACTTACGATTCCAGCACGTTCTGTGTGATTGTGTAGCAATGACACATCACCCAGCTCCACCCCCCGCTGCAATTATGGACTATTCTGGCACTTTCCAGCGAATTATTGTAATGAATGTTTTTTAGTTTACATCCCAACTTCCTGCTCTGGAAAACGTGCAAGAGAACAGAGATCTTTGGAAGCCGTGTCAAGGTTTCAGCACGTGACAAGAGACTAAGGATGTAAGTCGGTAAGTCAATCGTTTGTAACCAATATGGCTGCAATCGCGCCGTTGGAAACTATCAAATATGAACATTTGTGATTATGACGCCAACAGGCGTGACTGCGTGTGTAGCCTTGAGTTTGGGCATCATGATTAGGAGGTCATGTGCATGACTCTATTCAAAGCGTTAAAAACTCAGATTGTTTAATATTTGCATGGTGTTTTATTCTTGCATTCGGGTCTTCTATTGTTTTACAAAATGATACCTTGTTCCATTGTGTTCAGAGGAAAAGATATTAATGGGCAGATAGCACGTATTTTCCGGATGCCTGATTACTAATAAAGTTGGACATTCTTGTTTCAGTATCTTAATAATTCTATGACATTTCAAGTTAATTGTTCCGAAAACTTTTTTTGATTGACGAAAACGTATTCACGAAACTTTTAAAAGCAATATCTTTTGACACGTGTACATGACAGTTGACGTTGTTTATGCAACGTGGCATGTGCCTCTTGAGAATCACGTGTATGTTCTTAAAGACGTTTGAGTGAGTGAGAGAGAGGGAAAGGTTGGACTCCTCTTTGAAAGATTTTTCAGTTATATTCCATGTGTCAGCGTAAACTTTAGGGGAGAGGGGCGGTGGAATAGCACGGTGGTTAATGCGTTCCCTCTTCACGCCGAAGACCGGGGATCGATTCTTAACATGGGTACAATGTGTGGAACCCATTTCTGGTGTCCCAACCGTGTTATTTTTTGGGTATTGTTAGAAGTGGCGAATAATCATACTCACTCACTTGGCTTTTACAGCTCGACTTCAACAAACACTAACTGCAATATAATACTCATACGCTCATTCAGTGGTGAATATTGGTGAATCTAATGATTTTTACATACGTGTATTGTGATTGAGGAATATTTCTGGTTTAAGACAGGTTGCTGTAAACTTGGTTAAACCTTTACAATGAAAATTTTTTTATACATTGGGACGGGTACTTAGAAACTCGTTATCCCAGACACCGCTCTGTCTGGAAGACCCCGAACGTACATTTTAGGCAAAGGACGTTACCTTTGACTGTTTAACTGGACAATTTCATTTGAAACAGATACCGTCAAGAATAACGAGGTTTCGGAGTACTGCACTGTGGCGTTATATAAAACCACTCATTTTTTGCATGCACATTGTTTTGAATGGTGTTTTTTGCCAGTAAGACAGGATATGCTATAGTGAACATTAGGTGTCATCACTGATTTTCAGTTATCCATTCAGATCCTTTTTACCACTATCTTGCCCTTTACTACAATGGAATCCTATTTTGTGGGGCACGTTGTGAGTGGCAGTTGTCTCGTGTAGGACAGGGCATGCTATAGTGAACACCTGGTGTCATCACTGATTTTCAGTCATCCATTCGATAGTGGAATCTGTTTGAATAGATAATCGATACTGGTTATTTGCTGACGTTGACGTATTGCACTTCATTGTATAGCATTTCTCTTGTTTTGTTTTCGGCGTGTTGAGTATTTTTGCATGTATGAGGCGGTGTGCCGAGGTCCTTATTTCTGTATTTCATTGATATCATGGTTTTATTCAAGAGTTATTCCGAGTCGCAACAGCTGTTGATCGATCTTATCATCTGACTGGAGAATATAGAGGCCAAGGGTTGGCACCGCTGACCAATGCACTGTTTCAAATGGTGGCAGCGAAACTCGCTGACCCTTCAATTCCCTCTGCGGTTTTAGTCAAACTCAAAATAACAGACAATTAATTTCATTGCACCTTGTCATGAAATAAAATCGATGACAAGAGCTTTTATCGGCTGCAAGATCACACTATGTTACGTTGACATAACGACTGGTGATAGGGGGTAGCATGGGGTGTGTGTAGGGCCTGGGGGAAGGGATAGTGGAAGGGAATATGCCGGAATATGTTTTATGCCGCTCTGAGCACTGAAACAGCTAATCCCGTTATGGTGCGCGACACTAGCAATGAGTCGGTAACATTAGCAACGATTCACGCTGTTAAAATCCACAACGTACATTATCTATGGAGGTTATTTTCACTGCTCTGATTCTGTTCATGCACCGCTAAATATTACTATTACTACTATAATATTACCAATATTACCAATATTACCAGAATGTGCACGGGGTAATATTTCAACCATATCAGTAACTATAGTTTTGGCCATTATCAGAATTGACGAGCACCAGTCGCTTTTGCAAACAACTAAGTACAGTAGTCGTTTATAGAATTTACGAATAGTGTTGATATGTTATATCGCCACCATCATTTAAGATCATCGTGTTGTTCATTCCGATTTTTATTAGTGTATAAATAATGTAAACATAACCGATAAATCATGTGTATTATTAGCCAACTGCAATTTAGTATCAAGAAAAATCCATTTGATGGTTACACAGAATGACGTATTGCTGCTAAAGCGGAAGGTTAGTGAGTGAGTATGTTTTTACGCCGCTTTTAGCAATATTCCAGAATATCATGGCGGGGTCACCATAATTGGGCTTCACACATTGTACCCATGAGGGGAATCGAACCAGGGTCTTCGGCGTGACGAGCGAACGCTTTAACCACTAGGCTACCCCAGCGGCCCTAAAGCAAAAGAAAATGCCCAGTAAATCGGTATTTTTTAGAACGTTTTTAAGAATAAGTAACGATTAATCACGAGAGCGTACGTTATTCTTTATCTACGTGTTGGATACGGTTGTATTTTCCAGTCCGTACGTATTTGACTGGTTTCTGTCCCTACAATACGCCGATGCTATCTATCTGGAGCTCCGCGCCGACCGACACTCGTCATTATTAACCATCCGATGTCTATTTTGGGCAGCTCTTACGGCAACCAGACTGGGTTATCATGGATTATTAAAGCACCACTGACAGAAGGCCAGTGAAAACATAACTACTGTCAGGGATCATGATGACACTGATGACAGATACTGAAAACATGAAATTATTCAGAAATTTTGAAAATGTATTACCGAAATAATAGTAAAAACATTATGTATTATCACAGATTATGGAAATATGAAAGACAGAAAGCAGGGCTCCAGATAATTTTTCAACATCCGGGGTATGTACTCCTTATTCTTTCAATACAGGAGTACTGGAAAACCTTAAGAGTACGTTTAGAGTACATAATGGATTTTAATGGAGTATCAGTAATCTTGTGTTTCGTTTCAAAGATGCACCACACCATTGCTACTCTTGTGTACACAGGTCGATAAACAATAAAACAATACTTTTTCAGATAAATACGTCTGCAAATGATTCTAAGATTGTACACCAATGCTGTGGTGTGTATCTGCTACGTTTCCTAAATTAAATCCTACCGTGTCGTGCATATTTTTTATCAGTACATACGCCGATACTGCAGTTATCTGGAGCCCTGCAGAAAGGATAGTCAAAACTGGATAGTCCGAAATGATGAAATTAGTACTTGCGGAAAGGAAAGTGGAAACATAACCTTTGGCAACGATTATGCAAAATTGATGTAAGAGAGGGTGAAAACATAACGGACAGTTATTGTCATACCATATTAAAACAAGATGATGCTTTGTCAGTATGGGTAAATTAACGAAATGCAACACAACTGTTCTCCCAAGCTGTACTCATGTGCGCTGTGATACAAACGCGTGATGAATCATTGCGAAAGTGTTCTGACGGTGGGCACAATGTGTGAAGCCCATTTGTGGTGTCCTCAGCCGTGCTTTTGCTGGATTATTGCTAAAAGCGGCGTAAAACCACACTCACTCTCTGTTCTGACAGTGATGACTGAAATGCGATACTGATTGCTAGTCGATACCTTGAGCCAGTGTCCTCCAGTTAATCCTAACTAAACAGACCCGAGAAGATCTGGGTTAGAATTGGTCTTCAGTAACCCATGCTTGTCGTAAGAGGCGACTAACGGGATCGGGTGGTCAGGCTCACTGACTTGGTTGACACATGTCAACGTATCCCAATTGCGTAAATCGATGCCCATGCTGTTGATCACTGGATTGCCTGGTCCAGACTCGATTATTTACAGACCGCCGCCATATAGTTAGAATATTGCTGAGTGCGGCGGTAAACAACAAGCCAACCGACCTCACTTAACGGGTGGTAGTGCAGCCCCGTTTGGACCCGGGTTCGACACATGGGACCAGTGTGTCTCATCTCTCATCGTAACATAAGGGGCAATAGGGCAGCCCAGTGACAAAGGTCTTCAGTCCTTACACCGAAGACCCGGGTTCGATACTTTGGATACCATTGTCCCTCCATTCATATCCACATAAGGGGCGGTAGGGCAGTCCATTGATAAAGGCGTTCACTCGTCACGTCAAGACTCCGGGTTCGATTCTTTGGACCAGTGTCCCTCCAGTCACATCCCAACATAAGGGGCGGTAGGGCAGTCCAGTGATAAAGGCGTTCACTCGTCACGCCAAGACTCCGGGTTCGATACTTTGAACTGGTGTCCCTCAAGTCAAATCCCGACGTAAGGGGCGGTAGGGCAGCCCAGTGATATAAGTACAGTCGCACTCCGTTGTTGACCTACGTTAATACTTCGATTTATCCAATGTTCGACACAATAGCAAAACAACTCTTCTATACGGAATGCTTAAGGGTCAAGCTTTTATTTCGTACGTTCGACACATCAAAGGCCGACAGAATAGTGTTTGACTGTAATTTAGAGTTAACAAATTTAAGATTTAAACTTTTAAATAGACAACGTTTGATCTGCATAGCGTTGCAGGGGGGTATAACAGCGATTGACGTCGCGTTTGAGATTATGGCACTTATACAGCTATGTGTGCGTTCGTGTCTGTCTTTACAAGCTCGGACATACGCTTCTGTTTAACGGTGCTATCCTATTGCGCAATAATTTCGGATCATATAACATGGCACCCCAGCTTATACCAATAATACTGACTGTGCGAATCTTTATTTGATACCCAGCACCATCCCCAGTACCATGGTCTTTAGATGACTTTAGGCATCTAAAAACCGATCTCCCCGGGCAGTCACGCTATC